GTTCCTTCGCAGCGGGCAGCCTAGGAAAGGCTGGAAAGGTGCCCCAACGGATCTTGTCACCTAGGAGTGACACAGATCCAAATGCCCAAGCTCTCCCTATGTCTGTCCCTTTTTGACCAGCTGAAGTTCTTTTAAATTGTGCTTGGTTCTATTACAGCAACTGAAGGAGTCAGGTTAAAGCTTAAACAGTTACAGGTTTATTAAAGAAGCTTATAAATCATATGGTTACAATGGCTATTGCTCTATTTCTTAAATGCTAGCAAATATATATATATATAGGTCTTAACAATGATTACAGGAAAAAGGTAAAGATAGAAAATAGAAATAATGGTACCAAGTGGCAGCTTAATCTTTAAAGAGCTCTAACACTATGTGTATATATATACTTAAGCAAAGGACCACATCCAGGTACAATTTTTACCCCTTTCTGTGCCTCTCGACTCCAGCGTGTCAGGCCAGGGCTGGTCTCTCAATTCCTAGGAAAGACGAATACGAGGTGGGCATCCCCTTGGAACCTCGGGAGATCAAACACCTAACCCGACCAGCAGATAGATGGTAGATTGACACTCACTTACAACCTTGGATCTGAGAGCAAGCCAAAAGTATTATCAACTAGCCTTGAACATAGACACAGTGAAGTTTCAGAATTTGGATTCTTAAAACAATAACTTGGTTTCTTAGAGAGCAAATTTAACCTTAAAAGTTGAATGCCTAACACAAGCACTAACTAATTTGTGCTTTGTCTGTTTGCAATTTTAAGCAAGAGGACATAATTCAAAACAAAATAAAACTAGTTCAGTTGAAACCCACAAAATAGAGTTACAATATATAGAGCTCATTCTTTTATGTAGTTAACCGATTAAGTTTCAGTAGAATCCTTAATTTCTCTTGCAGATTTAACAAAAGTGTCCGTAGACAAATGTTTACATTTGATTGTTTCTTTGCCTAGATGGTTTGCACAGTGCTTAAGAAAGAGAAGAGGCTGCAAAGAAACAAGGTGTCATTTTTAAAGCAGGTTTCCCTTCACATATTACAACAATCGCTTAATTCTTTCTACACTCCCTCAGAGTTCACTTTTTACTCTTATGGTCTGTCTTAATTCTTGCTAAATGACTTTTCCTAATGACACAGGTTTATCTAGTATCAATTTGGTAAGGAGGGTGGGCTTTCCAATTAGCTCCCCCCACACCTCCTGAGTCCTTTCAATAGGTAAATCTGACTGTTTATTGCAGTCAGCTATTACTAATTTTAAACTTCTTAGCATAGGGTTTTCATAACATCCATGCTGTAGCAGAGTCTGTGGTGTAAATAGAGTGCTCATCTTTGGACAGTCATTTTCTTTTGGGCTATTCCCGGTGGCAACTCCTTTCCCTCCAATATGGGCTTAATGATTGGGAGAGGAGTGTGAAGTGTTATGGCTTGAGCTTGGGTTAGCGCCTCTGTTTCCCTTAGTGCTGTGTAGGCTGCCAGAAGCACTTTTCATAAGGCAAGTAATTTAACTGTGACCCTTTCCATAACTTCGAGCCAAACTGTTTGGGGCGGCAGGGTACAGTTTCTCCTTCTTGCCATAAGGCATAGGACATCCCTGTGTTTCCCACAGTAAGGTACAAATGAAATGGGGCATTCAGGTGAATCGGAACCATAGACTGATAAGTGCGTATCTCATTATCAGCTGTCTCAGAGCTTCCTTGTGGGTGGGGGCTCGTTCCCAGCGAGTACGCTTCCTGAGCAAATTATACAGGGAGTAGGTACGAATTAAGGTTCCCCGTTTTTCCAGATCTTTAATTAGTTCACAGACTGGAGCCATAGCTTCGGCTGGAATGCTGCACTGTTTTATCTTGGTTACACTGGAAGGCGGGAGAGCGGGGGCTTGAGCCAGCAACGTTCTAAAGCCAGCTCTAAAAGCTCATTTTTCTCTATTAATTACTTTCTCCTTCCCCTCTCTAGCCTCAGGAGGAGCTGTTCCTGTAGGTGCTCCATGTCCTTATTTAGGGTTCGCACCCGGGTATCCAGGTTCTGGCATTGCTCCCAGAGTTCGTATCTCTCTCTCTGCACCCTTATCAGTTCTGCTTCTAAGTTCCAGTAGCTAATGCAGGCTGCTTGCCACACACCCTTTAACAGCCAGATGCAAGCACCTTTCCCTAACATCTCTTTATTCCACTTAGGGTTGCCCCATCCCTCTCAGGCAAACTCCTTTTCTATACAGCTAAAATCCATGTCAATCGTGACTGGCTTCATGCTGCTGTATTTGAACCAATAGCACAATCCTGCCGACTACGCCAATTCTGTCAGCCGACGGTCAGGGCAGTGTGTGTGTGTATGCCTCCGAGAAAAGGTTTAACGTCCGTGTCTTTACTGCTAGGACCGGGGTCCCGTCGCAGAGGGTGGCCAGCAGGCCAACAGATGCCCCGTTATATAGGAAGAGCTTATTACACCTTAGATTTTAACTGCTAGAACACAGGGGTTCCTTCGCAGCGGGCAGCCTGGGAAAGGCTGGAAAGGTGCCC